TTAAGCTTTTCAATAAAAAACCAAGTAGGCTCAAATATATATTTTTTGAGCTTTTTAAAGTTGTTTTTTTTTGCACGGTTTTAGTTTATGAAAAACTTGTGGGTAGCACTGTGCTGATTTAAATTAACCGGACAATACGCGTTAAACTTGAAATTTAAAACCCGTTTTTCTCAAATTGGGTTGAGTTTAGGTGAAAATTTATGAAAACAAAACTTGCTTAAAGTGTTAGCAAAATTAATATGGTGTAATTTGTTTTGCGAAATTCGGGCCCGAAAATTTAACCCAAAAAATGGGTCAGTTTGGCTTTTCTTAGTTAATCAAAAATTACGCCGAAAACACCCAGTCGATCACAGACATAATTATATCAAAGTGAGCCACTTACGTAGACCAACAAACTTTATGAAGGTATTTTCTCTAAATATAAAGTATTTTATCTAGTAAAAATGACCTTTTTTGTCTATCAAACAAAAATAAATTAACTTATACAATATTTTGGAGATTATACTTTTCTTAAAGTTTGTTGGGCTACGTAAGTGGCTTAATTTGATTTAACTGTGTCTGTGATCGATTGGGTATTTTCGGCGTAATTTTTGATTAACTAAGAAAAGCCAAAAAGACCCATTTTTGAGGTATAACTTTGGGCAGGAATTTTGCAAAACAAATTACACCATATTAGTTCTGCTAAAAACTTAGACAAGTTTTGTATCCATAGGTTTTTACCTTAACTCAACCCAATTTGAGAAAAATGGTTTTTAATTTTCAAGTTTAACGCGTTTTGTCCGGTTAATTTAAATCAGCACTGTATGCTCCCAAGCCATATCTTATGCCTTATTTGAAACACTGGTGCAATGTTTTCTTAGAACAATCAGATAAAACAAACTAAAAACTAAAAACTACGTGATAGCAGTGAAAATTTTTCAAACCTATGTTTTGTTCGTGTTTTTACTTGTGTTTCCAGCCAGATAGCAACTCAACAGCCTAAACTGTATCTCGAAATTTGCTCACTTCTAAGTTTTGTTGCTACGAAATCAAGCGCATTTTCATGATTTTAACCTCTACAGTGCTTGTTTTTGCTGTCTATTTTTAGTAAAAATTTTACGTAGACCAAAAGAAATGGATCAGAGCTAGCCTTTATGGAACTATCAGTATTTGGTTCCAATGACCTATCAAAATAAGTCAAGTCTAAAATTATCAGTTTTCCTCATCTGCACTACCTTTTGCGTCTTAGCGAATTCATTCTTCAATACGTGGTAAAAAAAATTGATCATGCAACGAGAAAAATTTTCAGCGAGAAAAATGAACTATTCGTTGTGAAAAGCTTACTAAAGTCAGCTATATCTTACTTTTTCACCCGAAATTACAAACTTATTGAGGATAAAGAAATCCGGCATTTTCAGACCCGGGTTACGTTGGTAAGTAAAACCAAATATTGAAAAATTCATAAAAGCTAGCTCTGCTCATTTTCTTTTATCAATGTTTCTTTTTTTTTAGTCTCATATTCAGGTAAACTGCTCAATTCAACAGAGTTTTCAAAGAGGGTAGATCATATCATTTGCTCTGTTTTTTTTTGTGAATTTTTTGAATTTTGAAGCACTTTTAGGTATGTTTTTCTTTAACCTCAAAGTCAATATCGAGTACACTAATCAATAACAGCTATGATAATTTTAGCATAGCTCGGAAAAAAAGATCTCGCTGATTAGTGCCCTACTTCTTCATTCATTAGTTTTGTTTTTTCTAGGATGGCAACCCTCTATTAAAAAATTTGAATTTTTTAAACTGCAATTAGAAACGTTTAATCATAAAAACTCATATTTTGATCTAGTCATTCTGTGTTTGGTTGTTTTATGTTAAACCGGGTCGCCTATTATGAATACGGTATTTTTTCATAACAATTAAAATGATTTTCAAACTTCAGTTTTTTGGTATTATATATCAAAAAAATCATAAGTTTTTAATTTACGATAAGAAAAATTACACTGGTGGACAAACGTAAGCGCTACAGCTGCTTTTTAAATTTAAATTCCTGTTTTTTCAAAAACGATTTCGACCCCCTTTCACTGTGAAAATTAACAAAACTCTTACATCGACCAAGAGCGAGTGATTAGAGAGTTTCTTCATTTCGGATTCAAGGTCCTATCTGTTTTTAACGGATCTCGAAGTGCCTTTTTTACAATATCCTTTAAGTATTTCAAAATACGCAAAGTTCTATGAAACAGCTGAGCTTAAATAACTTGTCCCGCAGAACAATCCAATTGTACTTTCACGTCGCTTGAACAATTTTTCCCCGCTTTTTTGCAAAAAAGTTCACTCCGATGCAAAACTTAGCGCAAATGGCGAGAATTGGATTTTTGGGACCCAAAAAAACTGATAATTACTTGAACGCAAGCTTTAATAGTTTCGGAAAAATTAACTGTGATCATTTGTATTTAGTCTAGTTTAAAAACTTTGCACTTTGCCATATCTCAATGAGTTTTGTAAACTCTCTTAATCATTTTTGAAAACTGGCATTTTCAGAAGGGGAAACGGTTCGAAATATGTTTCAGTGGTTTTTTTGCCACAAAAAATTGATTATCTTATATTCTAGTGCACTGTCTAAATTTGGCAATATAATCGTTTATGTAAACAATATTTTTCTCAACAAAAATTCATTAAAATCATTTTTTATGACAACTCGGTGTGGGACGCTCAGCTTTGTGCTTCTTCTTAGGCGTATTAGCCTTTTCTGACCTTCAATTTTTGATGAATATTTTGATGGCATTTTTTTTTATTGAATGCATTTTCTGTCTTGGGTTCAAAAACAAAAAAAAAACAAAGAAACTAAAAATTTGGGATTATAACTCCCAAATTCTGAAAACACTTTATCAAATGATTTTGGGTAAGACACTGATTGTAGCAATTTATGGTTCTTGACAATGGCTACGGAACGAGTTGTAAAAAATCTATATCTTTTAAGCGGGATGAAACAGTTGGGCTGTGCGATTGGGATGAAACAGTTAGCAAGATCCGAAGGTCTTATCAATATTTCTGAAATACAGTTTGAAATAATCTTTGATGCAAGAAGTTTGATTTTTGATAGGATCTTTTATGTTGTGGAGTCCCCCATTATGGCGAATGGAACGATTTTCAATTTTTTCGAAAACCTAGTCGTCTTTTTTTATTAAATTGCTTTTAATCTTTCAACATTTAATGCATTTTTTGATCAACTTCACTACACATTGACGCCGAAAAGTCATTTAGGAAAATTTAAAAGCAGTCAGCACGGAATTTATGTATCAACAGGGGCGGATCTAGGGGGGGGGGGGGGCGGGGGGCCGACGCCTCCCTTCAGTGATTCGACCCCCTGCCTATCCAAAGGCCCCCCACTTTGGTACCATTCATGAAATCCATTTTTGACCGATCGACCCTAGATTTTTCTAAAGGCGCCGTCGGCGCTAATATATACTAACTTTGAGGGGGGAGCGCGTGCCGAAAAAACGCGATTTTTTGGTCAACATTTTCCGAAAAGTGACTGAAAACGCCTTTTTTGAAAATTTTTTTAACAAAATTTTGCCTGCGGCGCAGAAAATTAGCCAAAAACAAGTACTAAATTGTGCTTAGGGAGAGCTCGAAAAATCAATCCGGTCGACTTAAAAAAAAGGTCGACAAAATTTTTGAAAATTTTCAAAAACTTTTTGAAAATCCCCCCCCCCCTCGAGAAAATTCTAGACCCGCCCCTGTGTATCAATATAGTACTATGGGGGTAATTTTTGGTTGCCATGCGTCGAATTCTGGAAAAGTAGACTAAGCCTATTAGAATAAAGTGTTCAAAAATAGAATAAAGTGTTCAAAAACTAATTTTCATTTTTTGGAAACCGCCCTTTTGCTCAAAATTCAATCAATTTATGTTTGCACTTCTTCACAGGTTTTCCAATCATGTTATTTTATCTATATTTAATGAATCATGTCATGATTAAATTAGTTGATGATTTAACGGTCAAACTTTTCAAAATATAGTGACAAAGTGTCGAAGCTTCGCGAGTTTTGTGTTTCCCTGAAGACAATTTGACTTCAATCAAAACTTGAAACACCTCTTGAATGTATGGTAAATAATCTAATCTTATCTCAGTTTGGGGAAATTTGTTGTGATATTTGATTTAACTCTTGATTTTAGCAGCAAGACACAAAATTGAACGAAAACTTCAAAGTCATATTACTGATAGATAATGAACTTTACTAAAAACAAAGAAGGTTAGGGGCTACCGCTTTGAAGGGCAGATTTTTACTGTTCATTAAGCGGTCAACGTTATAAGGAAGATTTTTTCTTAATTATGCAGATATCTTAAGCTAGTTGTAAGGAGATTTCTCTCATAACATAAGCAATGAAAAAGCCTTTACAGGTGAACTAAAATTTTTGCAAACAAAAAAACAAGGTCAAACAATCAATTAGTTAGTTACTAGTTAGTAAACTAGTTAGTAAAGAAAATTCAAATGAGCTGAATATATATTGTAAAAATGTAAAAATAAGAGAACAAATAATCATGTCATGAGCTTTTGTATACAATCTGTAAGTTTGCAAGGTTTTTCTTATAATATTTTAGATTTGACTAAGATTATTTTTCAATCGTGCGCATGCTATAATTACATTGAAACACTTTCAAAAAATGTTTGACATTTTTTTACTCGCAATTTGATGAAAATTTTGCGTCAAGAAATCACAGATGGATTACAAAGAAAGTATTTTAAATTTGAATCACCGTTTGTCATGTGTTTTACGATTACTTTTGAGAATAACTTATTGTTACTAAAGTATTTTTCTCGCATTAGTATAATCTGATCTAAATAGGCATAATTAAATAAACCTAACAGTTGTTTTCGAAAGTAAATTGAAAAGACTGATTAACGTTGATCAGATCATTATGTTTTTATAATCAAACTACATCTTAGACGCACCATTTTTTTATATTGAGTAAATTTTTTCACTCATATTTTAAAAATAATTTTCCGAATTGTTTCTGTCATACCTGAGATCGGATTGTTGCGTGTCTCCGGAATCTGGACTTCCGAACTGGATCTTTATGAACTCTGAAGTGTAGTACCAACTACCAATTGTTAAACTACACTCTTGTCGGTCATTGGGGAAATATCTAAAACAAAGCGAGAGATAGAACTTTAAAGCCTCCCACTAAAAATTTTAGAAGGGGAGGGTTTGATTTTTTTAAAATCGAGGAACTCTTATATAGGTCGTAATGGTTTTATATTTTTGTCTTAATTGTTGTTTATGCTCAAAATTCATTTTTCGCGGTTTAATTTATGATTTATTTTAAAGTTTACTTCCTTTCAATTGATAAAGGAAGTCAAACTGGGCTATTGAACAATTAATTGTAAGGGTCACACAATGTGATCGGTTTCTAATTTCGAAAGTGCATTTTATTTTTTAGATTTCCCAGCGGATTAATAACTTTACCTATTGGTTCAATTTTCTCATATTGTAATAACTTCCCGGGTTTGAAAAGTTTTAAAAGTTTAACGAACATTTTTGGTCTAATTGCCTCTTTTGAAACTTTCTGGTCATTAAAAAATTGATTTAAAATTTTCGATAAAAAATGCTTATCGTACAATTTTTATATATGAAAGTTATAAGATAATCATTTTGTCATAGAAAAAATAAAAATTTCAAAAATTGCCAAGAAACGTGTCTGGATAACTTAAAAAAAAATTCATTGTTTATATCTAAGATAGAGGGCATTTTGACAAAGAAAAACATATAAGTAATTTAGGCCGGGAATAATGCTTATCATAATTTTTTCATATATGAAAATTGTATGATATGGAAATGTTCATAAACAAAAACACGAATTTGAGGTTAAAAAAATGCAATCCTTTCTTTTGTTTGCAAACTTGCTTTTGTGCACGAATATATGTTTTACAAAAAAAAATTGCGTGTAAATTTTGACTTTTTGTGTTTATTACTTAGTCCAGAATGAGTTTTTCACCCAAAAACCTCAAAAATGACAAAAAAAAATGTTTTTTTTTTTGTAAACACGATTATTTTTTTTTGTTTCATTTGCTAAGATTAAAATATTTTATAAAAATAAAACAGACTTTTTTCATAACCATCGAATCTTTCTAACCAAAATTTATCTAGCCATATACAAAAATTTACATTTTTGGTACATAATTCCATGTGAAAATGCTAAAATTAACTTAAATGGTTGAAATCACCAAATGCACTTTATCTGCGTTGTAACTGCCAGTTATACTCTGGGTTTTCTTATGACAAAAAATCGGTGGCTAGTGTTTCGGATGAAACGCAAAATTAAGAAACAAAAATTTTTTGTATTTTAATTTATGGAAACATGTTTGTCATATAATTTCATAGCATGGAAAAAATGCTTATCAAGCTATTTTCATACAATTTTAGGGATAAAAAGACTAATGAAAAAGCTCAAATTTTATTTCCAGAGTATGGAAAAAATGCTTGTTATAAAATTTCATCGTATAGAAAAATGCTTATTTTGCTATTTTCATACACTTACTTTACTCCATGAAATCGTATGAAAGAGTATGATAACCATTTTTTTTTTCATAAATAAAAATTGTATAAAAAGATTTTTTGTCAACCCGGGTTTGTAGAGCTTGAAGCCATATACTTTTAACTTCGATTTTCACAATTGATTTTTTCAAAAAACCAGCCATTTTTTTTCTTTCCTTGCGTTCATTGGCTCTTTCCAACTGTCTGTTGGCTATGTTTTTAGTTGTTATTTTAGTATTTTAAGAAAAATCAAGTAATTGATACAACCCTAAATGTATTTTATACAAGCTTAGACAATCCTAATTTGGTCATGATAGGGGAATTAAGGGTTGAGGAAATTCACTTAACTTGATTTTTAACCGAACATCACATCATAGTGATACATTCGCATGAAAATATTTTGAAAAAGAGTTAATATGGCTAGCTGCTATGTGAGTCATTTAAAATTTTTGTTTGTTTAATGACGACAACCAAACTTGAATGACCCTTAAATTTGTAACGATTTGTAGAGGTTGAGTCAATAATGATCGACCTTCATATTCATGTCGACCTGTAGTTTTTGGGTCAACTATAGTCGACCCTTAAGTTTCTCTCGACCTGTAAAACTTGGTTAAAAAATTGAAATCACTCGGTTCACATGGACGATACATTCAATTTAACCACCTCAAGCCGGGCAGTGTGGCCTACTTTTGTTACAGAAAGACCAAATGTGCAAAATCTCTGACTAAAATACCTTGATTATTTAAATTGCGTAAGTGGAACCAGTTCTAAACTAGTATTTATAACCAATTATATTATTGATAAAACTATCTTTAGTAAATATTACTAACTCCAATCATATTCCATAACTAACACTGACAAAAATTTGTCGTGCTGAAACTACTTGTAGTTTCAGCACCAGAATAATTTGAACAAATCTTAGAAGACTGTTGTTCTCCTTTGGACAAGTTCCATAAACCTGACCCGTATACACTAGATCTATTGAGACTAGGAGATAAAGATTGGTATTATACTAAGAAGTTGCACGAATCTATCCGCAGAAAATAAGATAGCGTGACGAACAGACGGTGTACCTCATCTGAAATTACTCATCTGAGAAAGCTACCTCTGGCTTAAACTCACAAGACAAGGAAGACGTGAAATTTTCATTTCAGAAAAAATGCTTAAAAAAGTCATTTCCAACATTAGTTGATCTATCATTCTGAAACAATTCCTTAACTAAATCTAGAAAATTTGGGATAGTGTTTCGGTATGAAAAAACTTAAAATCCCCTATGTCTCCAAAGAAAATCAAAATTATGGTGCAGATTAGCAACCTCAATTTAGCCAAGTCGCTTATTTTTGAAACGTCATAGCTCGCCAAAAAAAATCACTTTTATTTAGCGCTCTAACCAATGGGTTGACAGATGGTAAAATTTTAACAAATCTTGTAAGGCTATAGAGTCAAAAAACGCTTGAACAAAAAATAATCAGTAAAAATATCATTATATGTCAAATGTGGAATTAATTTTTTAGATGAAAAATATGTGCTTAATTTTTGTCTATTTTTAGTGAATTGAATGACAAATAGGGTGCACGACGATGTCTCTTTTGAGTTATTACTTCACAGTCTGGTTGCGTCGTTGTCAACTTAGCCTTACTTCCTAAATTTTTACAGACACCAATAAATGGCCTGTCAAATTGAAAAAAAGGTTAACTTGGTTTTTAATAACAGCCTGAAATGTCCGAACAGAATGTCACTTGAAATATTCGACGTCAATATTCGACGACTATAGACGACAAAAACATTTTAGACTTTAATGAAAAGTTACAATTATGGAAAATTAGAGTAAATAAGTTGTTTTCGTGTCTGTATTGTGTGTAGACAACAAAAATTTCGTTTTAGTTTCGTTTCTAGTTTTCTAACTCAACTTCATAAAATTATTTTTTAAATGCTTTACAAATTCAATCGAGACGGTTGAAGCATTTCAAAATTTTTAAATTTATTTAGTTTATGTTTTCAGGGGCAGATCTAGAGGATTTTCAGAAGATTTTTACGAGGGGGGGGGGGGGGGGGGGGGGTCTCCGATTTTCAAAAACTGTTCGAAAAAGAATTTTGGAACGTTTTTTGAGATTGACTAAATTGATAATCCGAGATCTCCCAAAGCCCTAGAAAGACCATGTTTCGGCAAAAGTTTCTACGCCGTAGGCAAAAGTTTGAAAAAAAAAAACAGCCAAAAATTAGTAAACATTGGCATTGGCGCCGAAGGCAACTATAGAAAAAACTTAAGATCCGTCAGCCAAAAATGGATATCTCAATTTAGTACAAAAGGGGAACCTTTGGGTCGGCTAGGGGTCGAATCCCTGAGGGGTGGAAGGGTAGAGAAAGTCAACGTTTCAATTCCGTTTTATATATCAAGTTTAGTTTGCTTCTCATCTTTTTTGTCCTGGGGGTTTAACTCTGGGGATTTAGCCCTGGACCCTTTTCAGCCCTAAAAATAACGAGATCCAGAAAAATGCCCTCATCAAATGCAAATAGAAAACTAGTCTTTATGTTTTTATTATAACTTTTGGAGAAAATTATTGATAAAACATTTTGAAAAAAAAAACTAAAGCAGTTTTGTAAATCTCAATACGACGAGCATTTTCTTGCATCTATTTATGCAATATTAAGATTTATTGTTGGGCCTCGATGCAGCTGATTTTTTTTCTTAGCCATGTTAAAGTTGGGAGAATGGAGAAAAGCTTTAACAGAAAATTGGTAAAATCGAGAGCATTTGTTATCTATTATCACTCTAATTAGAAACTTTCGAATCCCCATAAATTTACAAAAATTCATCACTAGTCATGTAGTTTCTGTCACAGGGCGTGAGCAAATTTCAGATGGTTTGAAAAGATTTTGTCAAATATTATAGATTGGAAAATGGAGTGAACAAAAATTAACCTTGGCAATTAAAAATTATAGTTAGTTTCTTTTTCTTCAAAGCTTGGAACAATAATTCCGGCCTTCTTGCATTAAGTTTTCCTTGTCCGTAAATTCAAGATAAACAAGGTTTGCTTAGTTTTGAAGTTGAACTTGAGATAATGATTTGCATACCTTTCTTTTCAGGTTTCAAACGGATTAAATTACTACAAATGTAATCATTTTTCTTCATTTCTCGACGTAAGCCAAGAAAATATAGTCTCGTTTCTTTTAATGTGAAATTTATCCCTTTGAGCCGGGTTAGGGGCAAGTAGTGGTTGTTCACGTGATCTTTTCCTTGATTTTAATTTAGGGTTGGTTTCATATCAGATCAAATTCCACTCATTTCAGAGTTCAGGGAGTAATTGAAGACCCTATTTTCAATAAAGAATCACTTATGTTGGGTGACGCCTAGTCTGAAGTTACAAGTTAGTCATTGAACTACAATTAAGAGAAGAAGTTTTTTCCTCCCTTTAAAGCTATCTAGATATACGACGCTATCAACTTGGTTTCCTAGTCGGTTTTTTTCAGCCAAGCGCAGAATTGAGTGTTGATGAAGATGTTAACTTGATATCAAATAAGTTTCACTTAAAATCAAGTAACAGAAATGAAAGGGCTTGTTTGAAATTTTCCGTCGATAAAAAAGGCGAATGTTTGTCACATACATTTGGC